TTAATATAATTTATTTGTATGGAATCAAATTATGCTACAATTCCTGTTCTTCAGTTGGAAGCATTTTGTTACATGGTAGTGTAGGGATTTTAGATTAATCAGCTATCAAATAGTTGATGGAATTTCCATTGATGGCTCTTTCTACAGTTCAAAGGCAGAAGCCCTGTGCTCCCTGCTTTTGAAATGTACAAGAGCCCCATGGGAGCAGGAGGCCAGTGGGGGGTTGCTTGAGGCCTCCACTTGCCCTGTGCTCCCTGTGCTGGGCATTTGGATAAAATATTCATCAATATGTTCAGTTTGATTATTCAAAGCTTTGAAAACAAATCTCTACTTAGACTTCTAAAATGTAGACATGTTTGTCAGGAACAAAAAGTCTAATGTGGGAGGCATTGACACTAGTAAGATAGGGATGACATGTAATTTGCAATTACCTACCTTCCTGGAATATGTAGAACAGAGAACAAATGAATAATCAAGACAACATTATATAAACCTTATTTAGTGCATTTACAGTCAATATAAGGCTGTAATTCCATCGAGTGTTTCTGTTGACCTCATAAACTGCTTGAGCATGCTTAAGTAGTTTAATGCCACTAATGACAATATCCTTTTATCTTGGCCTCTGAGTGTCTAATTATTTCTGTGTAAAATAGGAATGCTTTGGTTATTTGCTGTTACGTTTTGCCCTTTTGTTCATTCTTCTTCTGTTATTGCATTCCTTATCACCCTTACATCTGCTCCCATGCTGTGTCCTATAATCCTCATTCTGTTGATTCTCTTCAAGTCAGACATAGATTTCTCTTATCACACAGCTCAATAGAATATCTTAATTTACATCTTGTGTGTGTGCTTCTACATCGTTTCCAGTTACACTGGACTCTGGTCATTTTGTAACATCACATTTGCAAAAGCAACAAGATAGTTCTGATATCAGCACTAAAATGCTATGATAAATGTCTGTACCTTATTGAAGTGTGAACATAACACTAATCTTATAAATGGGAATAGTTGGAAATTTTAGCTGTGCTTTATATGTGAACTGGATTTTCCAAGTGTGGCCATTATGACTTTAGTCTCAAAGATGTTCTGGTTATCTAAATTTCACCATTCCTTCCTGCTCCTCCATTTGCCTTTTCCCTTTTTTTGAGACAAATTGGTAGTTTTTATTCTCACTTTGCTCAGTATTTGTATTATTTCTTATGCTGATGGAAGTGGTTAATGCATATGTTTTTGGGGTGTTCACACAGAATGAAATTCTGTAAATGGATCAGAAATGTCTTGCCTACTTGTACCATATGTTGTTGTCAGTTGTAGTCTAGCAGGTCTATCTGAGTTCTTAGCAATTTTGTGACCTGAATGTTTGTTCTGAGTAGGCGGAGTGTTAAGAGGAGGATATGCCTATTTTTATTTTCTAGCTTTAAAGTGGACACTTCTGTGTTCTGTAAGATAAAGTGATGCTTATAAAGAAACCATTAAACCTTGGCATTCTGTAGTAATTTATCCGTTAAGTATATAAAGTAAGTATCTTGATTTTTGTTGAGTTTAGAAGTATGTTTGTTTTCTTACTGAAGTATAAAATAATCTTAATTGTTATTTAATTTACAAACTTCATTAGCATGGAGCTCAGTTAATAATCTAAGGATTTAAAAAGGGATTTTATATCCTCAATCAAAGCCACATAAAAAGCAATTTGAAATCCATATCTTTCAGAGTGAAGGAGAAGCATTTTTTATGCCTATATTTGTGAAAGTATGGAAATGCATCTGTTCTCCAGCATAAATTAAATTCAGGTAACTCTTTTTCACTGGTAGGAAAGCAGAAATGTTAAATCGTTTAAAACATAGTAGATTCAGGGGCATATAGTCACCTTTCTTAAGAGATTTGAATTACAGTGACAGATGGACTTCTAGTGATATGAAGGTGAGTCTACTGAGGTTAATGACCTCTTGCAGTCACATGAACAGCTCTAAACTCAGCTTTGGACTGAGTCATTTGTATGGGTAGATCTTTTTGCAAAATATGTCAAGGAAAATTGAAAGAACTGCAAAATTCTTAGGCTGTGGTATTTGAGAGAAGAGAATGGTTAGATCTTTGGAAGTCTTTATAAGTATTTATCTATAGTAGTTATTTTTAAGGGCAGCAAAACTGGCGTGAAATAGTGTAACTATGCCCATATAGTTAGTTTCATTTAAAGGCTGTACTTCTGTAGAAATTCCACAAATGTATCTTAGTAAATTAGGGAGATAAGATCATTATAGTTCACAATGAGTCCATGTGTTCAGAAGAACTGCAAATTGGATAGGTAATCGTAAATGAATAGGTTTTGTACATAATTTATAGTATCTCTGTAGGTGTCATTAGCTTTTTAAAAATAATTATTTTGATAAGCTCTTTATAAATCTTCACTGGTACTAAAAGCCAGTTAATTAAGTATCCTAAAAATGGTAATTCAAAATGAACAAGCAATAGTATAGTATGTAGAGCCCTGCAAATCTGTGGATGTAGATGCAGATCTCTGCAGCTTATTTTTATGGATAAGGATGCAGATACAAATTTTGTATCTATGAAGGTATCTAATAAATATGTACTTATAGGCAGCTAGAAATGTCCTCTTCATCTGTAACTGAATTGGAAACGTTCTGATTGTAGAGTAGTGTTGGTGGGTTTTAATTTTTTTATCTGTGTTTTTCAAAGCACCAACTATTTGAGAGTCCCTTTTTAAGGAGGGGAAATAAGGATATGTTTTTACGATCTCATATTGAAGGTGGGAAGGATAATCTCACTTAAGCACCCCCTGATATTATGTTTCGATGGTTATCAACTTGTTTTCATTAATTGATGCACAGAAAGTTGGGGAGTTGCTCTAATCAGTTCGCATGTTCTTCTTAGATTAAAGGAAAGTACTGCTCTCAGAGAACACTAACATTAAAAATAGCATTTCAGTTGGTTTAAATTAGGGAGCTTGGTTGACTTCATTGGGGCTATCTGTCTATGTGGGCTAGTGAAGGAACTGGCCTATAAATTTTACTTGTGGCTTTAGAATGTTGACAATATAAGATTTTTGCTGTTTGATAAAGTGCTTCTGCAAGTGTTAGTCTGGGTAAAGAAAATCATGTTAATCTTCCCCTTTAAAATAGAGAGTCAGCATGAATCAGATCTTGTTGAAGGGTAAGGTTGCTTAAATATTATCTGTAGTAGACAACTAGTTTTCCATCTAGCTTTATTCAGAATAGAATACATTTCTTTAGGGGGGGAAAAAACATTCCTTTTTGTTTCCATAGAGCTCCGCTGTACCCCAGGGCAGTTTGCATGTCGCAGTGGTACCATCCAGTGCATCCCTTTGAACTGGCAGTGTGATGGATGGCCCACCTGTGAGGATGAGAGTGATGAAGTCGACTGTCCAGGTAAGTAGAACCAAAAAGAATGCCATTCTCTGATCGATTACTTGTGTGGCAGTATTATGCATCAAGTTTTTTATTTTATAAAATGAATGTTGGCAAATCTATGTTAAAATAAATATCACTACAGGAGGACACACATAAATTTGGTAAATGTTTTGTATAATAATCTTGACTCAGCTTTGCTTTTAATATAGTAACACCATAAGCAATTTTTCCTTCATTAGATTGCAAGAATGGAGGTGTAACCTATGTGTAGTATTCTAATGTGAAATGAGTTGCTAGACTGTTTTTATTCTTAATGGACAGGAGAAACTACCATTTACAATTGGATCAAACCTTATCTGTGTTGAATTCTAAACTTGCCTCTTGCCCTTAGAAATATACTACACAGACAATGGATTATGAAACACTGTTGGAGGAGTTTGTCCTCTTGCTGCCTGTGCTGTGTTGTTCACTTGCATTAACAGACCACATCAATCCAAGAGATAACTGTCCTTTATATCAATTAGAGGGCAAAAAATGCAGTGTGTTATAAATGAAACAGCTGTGCATTGGTCTCTGACTAACAGGAGGAAATGACAAAGGCTTTCTTTTGGGATAGTGAATTAGATACTTGGAAACAACTAACATTAAATTGCATCTTGGGTTAGATTTTAAATTAGGGTCTTTAGAAAGATCTAGACTACACTGAAGTATTGCAGTTTTTTAGTTCATCTCTGTTTGAATAAATCAGAACTGTAGAGCATTAAGTGAACTTCATCTTCCACCTTCCCAGCAGCATTCTGAATTCTGGCCCAGAGTTATTTTTACAGTATTTCCAATACCTGCAATAGAGTAATTATTTTATAGGTAGTCTCTTCCAAACTTTACTTATTTCTTACATCCTTTGTTTCGGTACAACACATACAGTGAGTGGATTTCATGAGCCGGATATCTATAAATCCTGAATCTGTGCTTTAGCTAGGTCCTGTGCAGCTGTACTGTATACAGTATTATGTTCAAGGTTTTACCTGAACAAAATGAATGCCGTGCATATGGCTAAATGGGGTAATCAGGCTGAGTAGGATTAACATTTTGTCAGATGCAGCTGATTTGCTGTGTAAAAGTTAGTACTAGGAAGCTTTTCAGTTGAATGAAATATTTATGAAAATGTGGGGTAGATATCTCTTATTCACCATAAACTTAAGATGATTACTGATTCTGTCATGATTACTCTTTAATGTGGAAAGAAGATTTACAAATATGGGAATGGGAGGATTGTTGAACTGTATAGCAGTTGAGAGATTGTAAATCGGGTAAATTGCATGACCAACAAAGCTGAGTGAAAGATTATTAGTTTTGTGTAGTCTCCGTGTGAATGCACACTATAATAACTGTTACCTCAGAATATTTTTCTTTCTAATGGTCAGTGAAAGTCCATTATAAGCTATATCATATCTCATTGCTTACTACTTTTAGGGTTTAGTTCTGTTCATGTCATCAGCAAAACTCCCATTCCCCCAAGAGGCACTGAATCGAGCATTATATGGGACTTTCCTTATTAAAATTTAGTGCAATCTGTATTTAGGTGTTTTCCTACAAATAACAATTTCCTTTTTGCTAGCAGCCATTCCAGTCTTTAGAGTACTCTGTGGATATGAATGTCTGTCCGTGGATAGACATCAGATCTGCAGGGTTCTACTCCCAAGAGACATTGAGGACGCTGGAGAAGAGCGTGGTCCTGTTGTGCCTGGGAGCCAACACCCCGTACTGGCAGCACAACTTAGCTGCGGGGCCAGGATCAGTGTAGGCACAAGTCCATGATGAGCTGCCAGCATGGGATGGTGGGGCTGGTGGCCACAGTGTCTCTTGGGAGTAGAGTTCTGAGGATCTGCAGATCCCAATGTCTATATGCGGATATCCGCAAATGTGGATAGATGTTTGTATCTGTGCAGGGTTCTACCAATCTTTTTTTAACACATTTTTTTTCAATAAATGGTTAATAGCTATTAATCAAACGGAAGAAATATAATGGAAGCATTTTTTTTTTTTTTGAGGACTATAATATTTGTTAGGGATGTTGTAATGCGTTTTCTTAGGTAAACCGCTGAAAATTTCAGTGGTAACACAATTATACTCAGACAAGAGGAGCTGGTGAATGTGGGTAGCTGGATTAAAAGCTGGCTTCTGCGTCCCTTCCATCCTCTCTGCCTCTATTGTCTCTAGCAGCAGTGTGGGGAGGGACAGGCTGCATGTAATCATTTACGTGTTTACACTTTCACACTCCTAATATCTTTCTTTTAAAAGCCAGTGTTAAATTGAATATTTTTTTGTCTCCTAACATTCAATTTTCCCCTCTGTCATCCCTCCCTAAAATACAGATTTATTTTTAAGATGAAATTCTGTTCAATTCCAAACTTTAGTTTTAAGCGCGGGTATGTAAAAATGCTTAACTTTTCTTCACTATGCTTAAACAAATATTAGCGGAATTTTGTATCTGTGTTTGTCCTCGATCGGTGAACTTAGGAGGATAAAACCCTTTGGCTGCTTATTCTGTCTGCATACTAGAAATTACTGAGAAGATTTACACATCACATGCTTGCAGCTCCTTTCTGCTCCTTATTAGGAGTAATAGATTTGAAAATAATTAATGCTGAAATAGTATTTGCTGTAACCTTTCTAGTAAATAAGAAGTTTGTATTACCAGTATAGTGAGTTACAAGTAGTAATTTCATAATAGTTAATACTAGTCGCTACTGCTAGCTACTTGCAATTTAAAGTTTGATGTAATGGTAAGAATCTAAGGATGCTAATACATATTCAGAGATAGCAGTAGTTGTGCCTTTCCACTTTGTAGCCCAGTGGACTAGTTTTCTTTTGTTATATTCACTGATACTATAGCCCACTAGACTATAGACTACAGGGTTTTGTCGACAGAGGCGTTGTTGACAGATACTGTCGACAAAGCCTCTGTCAACAAAGAGCATCTAGACTACAGCCAGTTCTGTCAACAAAGCAAGCTGCTTTGTCGACATGAGAGTGTAGATGTAAAGGACAGTGTAGATGCAATAACGTCTTCTGTCAACAGAACTCTGTCGACAAAAGGCATTATTCCTCGTAGAATGAGGTTTACCGCCGTCAACAAAACTGCCGAGTTCTCCGTGTCTTTACTGCTAGGACCGGGGTCCCATCGCAGAGGGTGGCCAGCAGGCCAACAGACGCCCTGTTATATAGGAAGAGCTTATTACACCTTAGATTTTAGCTGCTAGAACACAGGGGTTACTTCGCAGCGGGCAGCCTAGGAAAGGCTGAAAAGGTGTCCCAATGGATCTTGTCACCTGGGAGTGACACAGATCCAAACGCCCAAGCTTTCTCCCTATGTCTTCCCTTTATGACCGGCTGAAGTTCTTTTAAATTGTGCTTGGTTCTATAACAGCAACTGAAGGAGTCAGGTTAAGCTTAAACAGTTACAGGTTTATTAAAGAAACTTATAAATCATATGGTTACAATGGCCCAATGGGAAACCTCAAGTATTTGGAGAGCTGAAAATAGTTTAAGGGGAAGTTCTGACCATAAGTACATAATTCAGTCACAGAAGTATCCTGACATTATGCAAATGTCATAACAGGTACATGAGATGTATCTAATGCTAGCCTGCTTACCTGCCTATATATATGTTCTTAAGGATTTGATTTGCTTTATTATAATAGATTTATAGGGTTATATATGTTTGAGCTGTAACAGGGCACTTGGTCATCTCAGTGTTTCAAGATGATGTCCCAACAGCGTTTTATGGTTCCATTCCTGGGTCTGTAATCCAACTGGTAACAAGGTGTCCGTGCTGAACCAAGTGATCTAAGAGCAGCATTTTTGAGAGGTAGCTTATGTGTTTGGTCTGATCCAGCAACCACTCATTTAATTACTACTTATAATATGACCTTCTGTGAGTTTGTAGCAAGAACTATGTTGTTCTGCACTCTTTCTCACCTATCCCTCTTCACTGATACTATAGCCCACTAGACTAAGGCAGAAAGAAGGCAGCAGAATAATATCAAAAGACTTGAATTCAGAGAAAACTACAGCTAAATGAATACACATATAAAGATGTAATGTGAATTAGTATTAGTGTATAGAAATGTATTTGCATAATGTCTGGACTAAATACACTGAATGTCCTTGGCACAAAGAAAGTGGAAAACAGGGAAAAGATAATTTATAAATGGAAGTATTAAAAAAATGTGGTGGATTCACTTTTGGCACAAAAGACAGTTAATCTTGATTTTTCTAGTTTGCCTCCCAGTTCCACTAAAAATGAGAATTAGAAACTTTATTATCCAGTAGGTTGGGTTATGCAGTTAAAATGGACAAAGAAGCATGAGAGAGAGAGTTGGACAAAGAAGCTGGAGAGAGAGTTTTAAAATCAAGAGTAATGCTTTCTCAAAGTGGATGAACACATAAGCAGCTTATGTATGAAAACCAGCAATTCTTTTTGGAAATTTCATCTAGATATTAAGGATGTTAAAATACATGTATTTGTGTAAATGTGTAACTGCTGATTTTTTTTTTAAAGCGGTTACATGTTTACATGCAGGGGGGCAGGTAGGAGCTGTTGCTCATGGTAAGCCAGCTTAAAAGCCAGCTCCCACAAGAACCAGCTTCTTCCTGTCCCTACCTGTGGTGCTGCCTCTGATACAGAGTGCGTGTAACCTTGTGGGTTAACTAGCGAGCCCAGGCTTATCAGTTAACTGTGTACATGAATAACAGAAATAAATCTACATTAAAGGAATGTTTAAATCACAGTGAAGCACACAAATTAGGAAATGCACAATGTAGGTTGCCTTTTGTGTATGCTTTAAGAGAGTTATTAATTATGACTGCTATTTTTTTCAACAGGAAGTTAGTCTCATTCAGTGCATTGGAGGTAGGGTGTGTGCTAAATGAGCGGCTATTATATAGCTTTGTCCTCATTGTTCAGCATGCAATCCCAGGTCTATTTTCTTACCACTGTTCAAATCCTGCTCTGA